CTAACGCTTAGAAAATCCCGGTGGCGCTGACTGGGATTGAACCCAGGCCCTTTGGAGTGAGAGGCAATCACCGGCGCCACCCAGAATTGTTACTTGGGCTAAGAGTTGCATACATCGATGGCCTATCATGGACAATTTTCAAACATCTAGGGGAAATGGATAAAATGTCGACTTAAATGCTCCTAATTTGGGCCCATACATAAATTTAGCAATCGGCTAAATTTCAAGCATAGCAACCAAAAATATCCATTAGTACCGTCCCAATGACGCGTTAATCTAGATAAAATTGATAAATAGCAGATTTTTAGCGATGGGCCCAATCTTAGATCCATAGGACAACATTAAAGCCATTTCCCCTATTATTTATCACTTGTAGTTCTTTCAAAATCGATTTGCCAGCCGTCTTCCAGATTGGGGTAAGGAATAGAAGTCTGGAGTGGAATAGCACGTAATATAGCATCACGGACCATTTCTTTGGTATAAAACCAGAGATTCTTCTAAGAACACCGCAAACCGAACCTAAATTGCCTTTGAGCACATTGATGAGTGCAGACAACAACAATACCTCTTCAATTACAAACCCAAGAACTTCGAACACATCCCAGGATGGAAGTTGCCTTTGAGACGAGTGAAAGATCGTGTGCTGTGTCTAACTCATGTTCAGCGATAGCAGATGTCTTGTTTAATCAGTCGGCGGAGGACATCAATGCCAATTTCTTTGATAACATATGGACGTATCGTCTGTGAATAGTCGTAGTTTTCCACTCAATCACAGTTTCGACAAATAAATGATGAATAGCAGCGAGAGGATTGAACCCAGGTTGCTTCCTTAAGGTACAACTGTTCTTATCGAGTTAGGGTTACTTTTGGTACCCCCAATAGAGAAAGATTTCCAGCGATTCGTGAGGTAATTATCAAACATCGATTTTGTGACTCCTCTGGGTTTCAGGTTTCCTATTTCTTGACCAGTTTCAAACACCTTTTTGAGATCTATTAACAGTGCAGAACCAAGTTGATAGTTGCTAAGATCCTTGCTGTTGTCAGACATGAATATCGGGACTACACGAGCAAGTTTTAGGCAGCCTCGGTACTGGCCAGTTTGAATTATTTCGTTAAAAACCTCCATTATGAGCTGAGCAAATAATTGGTAATGGGTTTTTACGAAATAGGAGGGTATATTATCAAGTACAGATGATTTTTGAATGTTCCAATTATTGATTACGTTTATGACCTCATTGATTGTTGTTGGGTACAAATATAAAGAACTTTGTTGGGGAACTAAGGTGCCAAACTTGTGAATGTTGTGTGTCGCTGTTAATATTTACGGTCAGGTTTTTTTCCAATATAGCAAAAAACAGTCGGTTGATGCGTTGCAGATCCGGTCCACATCAGAAACTATCAGACTATTGCATTGAATGTTCCTCTTAAAAGAATCGGTATTCCCAAGTCACAATTCTGGTTTTATCGTGGTTTTGAAGAAGTTTATAAAGCTTAGAATGGACTTGAAGAACATAATAAAACCGGAAATATGCTTGGGTTCCCAAATAGGTGCTAAAATGTTCAAGCAAATAGATACAGCTATTATCGACGATATGTGCTTGTGTGTGTATTAGAGACCGGTTGCGCAAAAAGACTAGGGTGGGAAACGGATTCGAAATTCAAATGTCATTAGTGGAATACATCCGTAGACCATATAGGTTTACCCTTGTATAATTGTATGTGATTAATGTCGGCTCTAAACCAATGAACTGTAAAAATATAGATCGATTGATTAGAAAACAGCCGCATATAAGCGATGTATATAGCTTTTTAATTACCGTGATATTCGGGGAGTTACAGTAGGTCAGCATTAGTCCTCTATACAAAGCCAAAAAAAAAATTAAAATTATGCTGGTCGTTTGTTTGCTTTATTTTCAATAGTTGAGATCCGATCTTACGATGCAACATTGTAGCAACGTTCAGAATATTTCCACAAAACAACAACAAAATTCCAGCATCTTGCCTTATTCAATAAGCTCGAAGCTCAGATACTTCAATTGATTGACAAGCTATTTTCTTGTAGGGGACTTGCTTTACGATGCCAGTCAAGGACATTTAGCCATTGCCGGAAGATAAAGGGAAACTTTTTTTATGGGCACATAAAATATCGAAGCAAATAGCATCCGGAAAAATACGAGCGCACAGTACAGCGCGAGAAGCGAAGCGTCTGTTTTCCACTGTGTGAGTAGCCATTGCCGCCAATTATCGTGACAATTGTGTTTACTTCCTAAATCGAAGACGAAATTGTCAGTGACGCGAGAATTGATTGCAATCCTCTTTTTATTCTTGAATTTTGCAACGAATCAAAACGACGTAGTTTCTGTATTGTTATTGGAATTTGGCAAAAGCAACCAAAGATGAGGATTTTTTTTTCGCTGTGGTGGTTTATATTTTGACATCGATTTTTGTAAACATAAAAATCATTATATCACATCACGTTGGACATTCGGTTCACAAACAAGAAAAATCTCATGGTTTTATTGAATTTTTAACAGCGGATCGTAGCTGAGAGAAAATGTAGGTAAACGAGAAATTTGTTAAAAAGTTACTATACCAATTTTCGCTAATCCTAAACACAACTGACGGAAATTGAAGGAAATGCAAGGTTTAACTTGGTCAGAAGTTAATTTTAGAATAGTTTCAGGAAGTATAGTACGGGTGACTGTTGTTGTATAAAACTGGCTGTTAATTACTCCGTTCCATCAGAACTTTAACAAAATTTAAAATGTACCTTTCTTCAATATCTGCATGATGAATCATCAGGGATGACTAGACCTCAATGGTTATAAATGATATTTGATAACTAATCAGGTAAACTACTGACGAGGATCATGACAAAGGCGGGTGTAGAATGGACAGGTCCTTATTACATGGCATTTGTAACATTCTTAAAATGAAGAAACAAATAAAACGTACGGCACCATCCTCAAAACGCATTCTGAGGTTATTCCTTAATACTAGAGTGTCTCGGAATATATAATACTAAAATAAAAATGAATTAAGAGCTAAACATCACATCTAAATTAAACCTAAATTTCGTTTGAAAGCTACATGTTATACAACTAAAATCATACTAGGGTTAGGTATCCCAATAGTGGAGGAAGTATTTTGGAACAAAATGCTCATTATTGACATCATACCACTCCAAAACGTCCAAAAGATGGCACTATAGTGGTATATTAGTAAAGATATCAATGAATCTTTGGGAGACTCTAAAAGTGGAAAAAGATGTAAACACTCATTCTTATTTAATATCATATTGACGCATCTACAAATGGTGTTTTTTTTTAATTGTATTTGGATATCATTATCAGCTTCAATTTAAGGGTGGTTGGGGTGAAATGGGCTCCCTAAGGATATTGACGTTTTTTTACCCCTGGATTTATTTTCCGTGCTGAGCACCAATGCCAATCCAATCCTGAACCGGAGACCAACGGCTTTACTTTCCTTCCCCCGGCGGCGTCGACTGGTGTTGAACCCAGGCCTGCTGGGGTAAGGGGTAATCACGCTTATCACCATCGGTGCCGCTGTAAGGATATTGATGTTGTTCATGATGAAAATAAGTGTATTTTTGGTATCTTGTTAGACATTATGACATTATGATATAAAATACAGATTATAACTTTGGATCATCATTTTCAGCATTTAAAATTTAAAATCAAAGATGCCTACTAGAAGAATTCGCTAATGTAGGTGGGTGAAAAATGGACAAGCGTTGTAGTAAAATAAATATTAAATAGTAAGCTTGGTTAAAATGGTTGAAAATGACCTAGGCGAAACAAAACATAAATTCAATATTATTTAGCTAGATTTAAATGGAATCAATTTAATACTGATAAAAATTGAAAAATTTCAACGGGTTAGTTATGTATGAATGATATACATACAAAATAAAGAACTTAAAAATAATAATTATATTCCTGTCCTTTTTACCCCATTGAACAGCATATTTTTTTAATGTTCGCGATTGGACAATGGTAATCCAATTCTTAACATCTTTAGGTACAAAGGTTTTACTGAAAACCTAAACTTTTGATGTTGGGTAGCGGTTATATAGTGTTTACACTTTTTGCTTGTAATATTATTGAGTTCAAATTTGTAAAATATCATTAACACACATGTTGAGGGTGATGTCATATGATTTCTTAATTTTTGCATCACTTGATACTTTACGAAAATCACAGAATGTTCCGATTGCTATGAAATAAGGTAAACATAAAGCCAGTCGTACGATCAAAAGTGTGATACTTAACTTATTCTCGACGAAACAAGTACCTGACTGTTTTATCCCACCTGTCCATTTTACCCCGACCTCCCCTACGTTTATGCGTCAATCACTATTCTACCCATTTTATTGAGCAATCGTGTTTAGAGCTTCAGGGCTTCTATTCCAGCGAAAATATTTCGATTTTAATTCGATTTTACGTTTTCTGGACATTGTAAACATTCCGCCCATTCCGTAGTCAGTAAAGGGCCACCCACACTAGATCCCAATCTGATGCGTTACGGTTAAGTGAAAAGGCAACTAACCATCACTCGATTTGATTCTTCTTCTTCTTATTGTATTCCTAAATCGGCGGAGGCGAACCAGCCTAAGGCTGAAAGCCTCCTAAATAAAGCTAAATTAATTAATTCCTAAATCGCTTAGGCGTCCACCTCTTAGTTCGCCTTTTTGTCCACCTAAAATATTCATAAGTATGTATTACATGCAATCAAGAGCTAATGAACAATCAGCAAAGTTATAAACCTTGAATGAGTGATCTTGTGCATGGAATTAGTTTGATTCCAAATGCTTGAAATTTTGAGAAATTTCTATGCTTTCACCTAACGTCGAACTTTTGCCCCAACATACTCTAATCATAAACTTTAACTATCTTGAACAACTTTCAAATGATCGCATGGAATAATCCGTTGCCTTTAGCTGTAAAGCATTAAATTTTCTATACATTTGCAATACTTACGGTCGATCCGCAAATCGGTGCATCGCCTGCAGCTGACAGCCTAGCGCCCCTGCGGAGCCTCCTCCGGTACGAAGGTGGCACCTTTGGCACCTTTATCGGGCGCCGTCCTTAGAAACTTTTCACGAGTCGTTTTGTTCACGAGTGCAGTATTCAAGAGCAGCAGCGTCGTTGTTCTATTTTAGATAAGGATTTCACTGCACTGCACTAGGCAGTAGGTATATCAGTGCAGCAATGGCTTCCACACTAGTATGGAACCAAATGTATCCTTCTCACTTAGGTGTATCTTCTACGAGTGCACTGTGATTGATTGGATATTGACTGTAAACATTATGTTTTAACACACACATATATCATACGTCGAGATTTAAAGCCATTTATGTGAATTGGATATTATTGTTTAACTACACTAACACGCTAAAAAAAACCTGCACCAGTTGGCAGATGCACTACTTTTGTTATCGAGTAGAAATAGGATGCAAAGGGTTAATGTACACAGGCGGTGTGAGAATCAGAGAGTAAAAACTATCCTGCTTCACCGTAAGCTTTTGATTGCCTTTTAGAGGCACGTCCTGCAGCACACAACAGTTCACTTTCCATAAAATTCCAATCCAAGCTGCACTGTATTCGATTTCGGGACGTGATCACGCACACATTCACTTGATTCGGTATAACTTTTTTTTGTTTTCTCACAGTTTTATTTTTCCTTCATGCTTCAGCTTCTTCAGCTGATTTTCTCTTCAAAGCACTTGAGCTGAAATATTCACACTTATCCTCTCAGTCGATTTTTCCTTATTCCTCATTTGCTCGACAAACCCAAGGGCATAGCTAGAGCAAAGAGAGTAGGAGCACAAAAAAAAAACTTTTCCTATCCGAGAAAATTTAAATGCTTTTCCTCTTCTCACCCTCCAACTGAGGTTCAACTTCTAGCGCTTTTTTCCGTTCGCTAGCAAGTTCTATCTTTCCTTCGGTTGTTCGCTTCGTTCGAATTCATTAAAACTCATCAAATGCAATTACGCCTTTCCGTTTTAGCTTCAGGCTCAATTCCGTGCAATGCGTTTTAGCCAGCAGTTCTTTATTCTGTGCTGTGTATTTTATTTTCCTCTGACTAGTCTTCACTGCTGAATTTCTCCAAACTGCTACGCCGCTAGCCATTTAAATCGTTGGCATTCTGTGGAAGAGAAGAAGATTTCAGAGATTCTCGATGGTAAATGTGGAAGTTTGTGCTTTCGCTAAAACTTATTCCGTCTGAGTTGGGAATGCTGCCTTCCTCCCCCAGAGAAGGAAACGCTTTCACAGTTGGTAGGTAGGTGCTGCTGGTGGAAAAGTTTTCTCAAGTACCTCCTCGGTCTCAGGCACACATATACGTAGGGCGTGCCGAAAGCGCGACCTGCTGAGGGTTCAAGACATGATCTTTCGGCAAAAATCATGCACATCAAAACGCCAAAGAAGACTGATGGGTGCTGCGTTGTGTAATTTATGAGCATTATTTCTACGTGCGTGCGTAAAACAACACCGGTGGGAAGGAAAAGTTTGCTGATGTGTGATGCACCCGGGGAGCGAACGGTGTAAATTTATGTTTTCGGGGCTGATATGTCTTCATACTTCTTCTTCATTATGGCTGTTACGTCCCAACTGGTACTAACCACCGGGTCTCAACTTGGCGTTCTTGCACAGGTGCATAGAGAACATTCCAAGCCTGCATATTTTTCGCATTCCTATTTAGCGTGGTAAGTAATTACAAAAGATGAATCAATGTTTTGATCCGTTAAAATCATTAAATGGACCACGAATCAAACCTGCTGCCTCTGGTATGATACGACGCAGTTTTACATACTTGGATATCGCGGTGGTGCTTGGCCAATTCGGAACGATAAGACAACATGTTCGTGAACGATATCCGGCAACATACAGATACTCCATGTTCAGTGGGATACGGGGCATCTACATGGAAATTTCCAAGGAGATAACGGCGCGTTTGTTTTACGACGGCCTCAAGAATAAATGTTTCAACTGCAAGATGGAGGGCCATCTTAAAGCTAATTGTCCAAAAACAGCAAGCTTGAAGTCCACCGGAGCCAATGCTGGATCATACAGTGGTGTGGTTGCTGGTGCTGTTGCAAACAATTCCACATGTAGAAGCAACAGTGCTCTGCAGCCAAACATGACACCGTTGCTCTTGAAAAACAATAGAACTGCTTCGAAACAAGCCAGCAGCCTTCGAACAGATCAACCGAGATAGTGTCTGGCCCAGGGACCAGCGTGATTCCAACAGAGGAGAAGAAAGGGGAGCGAGACGAGAAGATGGACGTTTCGACACAATCAACTGGCAGCAATGGCGCGACGAAGAAACAATTACCGAGAAGAGGGCGCTCTCGAACCAAAAAGCCGAACGGAGACCAACCGGTGGAGAGAATACTCTCGCACCTCTCCGGAAGATCGAGATCACGAAGTCAGGCTAAGAATGTTGGTAAGGAAAAGCAAGATAAATAAGGTGTAGATCTCTTTCTCTAACCCGAAATGACGGTGTATATAAGCTCGTATGAGCATCCTATTGTCACTCGTTACATTCAACTGCGCTAATCGAACGGTAATCAATTCATGCAATTCACTCGTAATGTAGCATCGATTAATTTAAACGCTATCAACTCTCCAGTCAAAAAATCCCTTTTTAAAGATTTTCTCTGGAACCATGATTCGGACATCGTTTTTGTACAAGAACTAGCTTTTGATAATTTTGCTTTCTTAAGTACTTGATTTGGTTGTTCGACTGGTTTTATGGAGATTTCGTTTTTATGGCTTTCTCAGTCTAGGGTAATTCAAACAGTTAGTTTTGCATTGCCCAACAACTGTTTGAATTACCCTAGACTGAGAAAGCCATAAAAACGAAATTTTCTTAAGTACGCATACGGCAATAGTCAACATAAGCGAGGATGGTAAAGGCACCGGAGTACTTCTGCGAAGTAATCTAAAAATTTTCTATGTTATTTTGAACGTCGTACGGTCGTATTTCGTCTGTTATTGTAGATTCGATAAACTATGTTAATATTTATGCCCATTCAGGAAGCGGATATAAGAAAGAAAGAGATGTTTTATTCAATGAAGATGTTCTCATTCACTTAGTTCACGGTAGTGAAAATGTCGGTGATTTTAATTGCGTTCTTAATGACGATGATATGATAGGTTCAGTTAAAAACTTCTGTGGTGGTCTGAAAAATTTAGTTGATTCTCTTGGGTTGAAGGATGTGGAAAAAACGATTCTGAAACAAACAAACCAACTTTACTTTTATAAGAGGTACTTCAAAGTCTCGGCTGTATCACTTATATGCATCTTTCGATTTTATTAAAAACGTTAAAACGGTATGTTCTGAGGCATAACATCTCTGATCACGCCTTTCTTCGGCAGGGAAGTAAATTCGTTGGTCCCCGGTTCATGAGTGATGGGTCGATAGGTAGGGTCCAGGTGTGGGAACTTCCTCCCTGGCGTCGGTAGCATTGGTGCTCAGCACGGAAAACAAGATCGACGGAAAACAAATCAATGGAAAAAAATAAAGTGAAGAAATTTGTCTCCACACCTTGTGATGTAAACAATTATTTAAGAAAAAACTCTGCAAAATTAGATTTTTGATTTACATTAGACAAAATTCAGGAGTGTTCTAAAAATTTAATTGAAGCTTCAAAAATTTCATAGATTATCCAACAGCATTAAGAAATCCAAAAGGATTTCAGTAAAATTCACTTCAGTGAAGAATGACGAGCTTGAGTGCAGGTCCTTGTTCCTGCTTCAGGAAAACTGCAAGATTTTTTCAGTGAACTTAATGGCAGTTCTGAAAACTACAGGGCAGTTACATGATGTCAAGAAATTAACGGAAACCGTCAAAATGTTCCGATAGAAGACCAAAGGACTTGAGGGAAGTCCATTAATTTCAATGTATTTTCAGAAACATGACAGAAGAATTGTGAGAACTACAGGAAAGTTCCATGAGCTTCAGTAAACATAAAAAATTTAGGACAGTCCCATTATCTTCAACAAAAAATAAGGAACGATAAAAACGTTCTGAGGAATGAATTAAAATGCCGAGAAATTCACAGAAGCTTAATAAACAAACTAAGAGAACATAAGAGAAGTTTCGAAAACTTTTGTAAAATGTTGGGATCTTCAGGGAAGCATCAAGAATCCTAAGGCGGTTCCATTAGTTTCAGGAAAACTGCAGGATCTTATAAGAAGTTGTGGCATCTTCAGGGAAGTTATATGAATTTCAGAATAATTTCCGGATCATTAGAAAATTTATGGAACATTAGAGAAGCACCGAAAACTTCAGGAGAGTCCAAAGAAGATCAGCAAAGATTAGGGAAAAGTTACACGAGCTTCAACAAAATTTTCAAAACTTTTGGAAGATCTAGGAACTTCATGGCAATTCTATTAACTTTAGAAGAATGGTAAGAACTTTTATAAAATACATACAAATTTCTGGGAAGTCTAGAAAACTTTAATGAAGTTCAGAGATCTTTCGGGCAGTTCGAATAACATCAGGAAAATTCGTAAAGCATCAGGAAAGTTTAGACTTTTGGGGAAGCTCTAAGATGTTGAATAATTAGATCCAATAATGTATGGATGGGCAGTTCCATGAATTTCAGGAGAATTTAGAGAATTTCATTTAAAATCTAAGAATTTCATAAATTATGCCGTTCTATTTTCAGGAAAATTTAGGGAACCTTAAAGAAGTTCTTTAAGTTTGATGGAATTTCAAAGAATTCTAGTGAATATATGAATTTTCAAGAAGGATTCGAGTACACAGAAGCCCAGAAAACTTTTTGAGCTTCATAGAATTTCAAAAAATTTTGGGAGAGAACTCCGAAATCTTCAAGGAAGATTCATGAACATCAGGAGAAAGCGGAAACATTTTAATATAAGTTTCGTAAGCTTCTGGGCAGTTTAAAAAGTTGCGGGAACTTCAGATGCTCCCAAATTTTAAAGTAGTCCAGAAAACTTCAGAGATGTGAAAACTTCATAAATGTTTAAATGTTCCACCGAAGTGCAGAGGTTATCAGTGAAGTTTAGGGATTATTAGGACTGTTCAATTATGTTCAAGAAAGCACTGAGAGCTTCAGAAGAATTTCAAGGAATATAGTGAAGTTCCTAAAGATCAGTTAATGTTAGGACATTTCCATTAGCTTCAGGGAAAATACATAAATTTTAAAGAAGTTTCAAGATCTTCTGGGAAATTGTTAAAACTTCAGGAAGTTCTGAGGACATCAGAAGGTACAGTGAACTTCTGGGAAGCTAAGAGAATCTCGAGGAAATCCAGAGAAATTAACAACACATTTCGAGAACTTCAGAAAAATTCTAGAAATTATTGATATGATATACATATGAATATCTGGAAAATTGCAGGATCTGTATGGATTTTGCCTTACATCTAATATCTGATTGTTATTTGTCTGACTGTTATTTGTCACGCTGCACTGCAGGAGATTCTTATTATCGCTTAAATTAATGGCGTCTATTGCCTGCTATGCAGTTCATCACTTCCCAATTCTCATTTGTGAACGATGACAGTGAGCATGGTGGGATAGAACAGGTATTAGGGGGTTGCTTATCTGGGTCTGGGTTCAACTCTCGTTTTAAGGTTAATTGCATGCTGATTGTAGAAAAGTTTCACCCCTACTCCAGTGTCAATTAGAAGAAACTGAATTGCGTGTACATGCAGTTATACATTCCTATATTACAATTATGGGGCGCTATTGTGGTGGGCGGGCGTGCTATTTCAAATCAGTGAGTAACCAGGTCTAAATTTAGCATGACAGATTGGTCATAAATTTAACTCCAAACACCAATGATTATTCCGTATTATGCCCAAAAGAAGAAGAAAAACTACTATAGAAAATATTAACTAAAGTCAAATATTAATTTATTAACTCATTTTGAAGATAATATCATTCATAACATACAATACATGATAATTATGAAAATCATGTGTGGTAATATCTGTAGTGTAAATCAGTGTATGTCATTCATACAGTTGCGCAGTACCTCACCAGCTGACGAATCGATTTTATTTTTCCGTCTCCGAATTCCATTAAACTTTGCATAGTTGTTCACTAAGGGCAATGAACCAAGTTTTTGCTGGAATTCTGAGACAAAATTAAATGAAAACTGGATTGCATTTT